AGCGATGAGGATCAATTTTTCCTCATTGATGTAGATCCCCACGCTGCTGAGGATGGCGTGGAGGGTCCGGATAGAGGAAAGAGGGCGCCACAAGGAGCCAGTCGTCCAGCTAGGGGAAAGAGGGAATGGCCCTGGTGGCACATATAGGCCACCACAACCGCAAAGACCTTCATGAAGATGCGGAGGGCGGTGGTGATTCTGAAGGGGAGGACGCGGAATTCATAATGGAAACTTCTCACCTGGAAGCGGAGGAATTTGCGATGAGCAGGGTGGATGTCTATGTGGAAGCATTCATCTTTCATATCGAGGGCAGTGAACCAAGCTCCATCGGAGAACGAAGGGATAATAAGGGGGAGGGTGACCATCCTGAAGCAAAACTTGTGAATAAACTTGTTCAGGGAGCAGAGATCCAAAATGGGATGAAGACCACCCCCTTTTCTTTGGGATGAGGAAACGGGGAATAAAAACCACGGCCACAGTAGCGCCGCAGCACGGGTTCTATGGTGTTCTTTTGGAGGAGGGTGGTTGCTGCCTCACAGAGGAGATGGTCCTGGGAAGGGTCCGGAGAGTGGCCACTGAGCGGATGACGAGGAGGGAAGGAGAGGAATTCAATAAGGAGGCCTTGGTGGATGATGTCCAGCACCCAATGGTCAGAGGTGATCCTACCCCAGTTGTGAGCAAAGAGGGCAAGACAACCCCGATCCATGGTGTGGCCAGAGGGACCGAGGAGGGTTCACGGTTCTCGAGGAAAGAGACAAAAGGGTTGCTTAGATGGATGGTGATGGAAGCAACAGAGGAAGAACATCGAGGTCGCTGGGAGCAAGAGTGATGCAGGTCAGGTGGCCATTGAGGGTACGGCTGGTAAGTGGCAAAAGGGCGAGGGCAGAAGGCGGGTCGGAGCCGGAGTAGAAATGCTCAGAGACTGGAGGGTGGCCTGAGAGTCCTGGAGGGAGCAGAGGGACTCGTTCATCTTGTCACTAAATAGCTTATGATTGTCAAAGGGAAGGTCCTCAAGCGTTGTCTGACCTCCATAGGGAAACCGCTAGACTGGAGCCAAGAGTAGCGACGGAGCACCACTCCAGATGCCAAGGAGCGTGACGCAGTGTCGGTGGCATCAACAGCAGTTTGGAGAGATATGTTAGTCACCAGTTTTTCCTCATCCAACAGATGCTGAAATTCCTGCTGCTTTTCTGGAGGAAGGAAGTCCTGAAAGTCCGCCAGCTTGGAATAGGACAGGAAATCATACTTTGAGAGGACAGCCTGGTAGCTGGCAATGCGGAATTGTAGGCCCACGGACTAATATACCTTGCGGCCCAGCAAGTCCAGCTTTTTGGTAAAGCAGTCAGGACAGGTGGATTTAAAGTGTTGCTGATGGGTGCGCTCCATGGCCATTTGGACTACCAGGGAGTTGGGTGGCGAGTGGGTAAAGAGATAGTCTGTACCATTAGAGGGCACAAAGGAGCAGCGTGCTGCCCGCTTTGACATAGGAGGCTGGCATGTGCCCAACAGCCTGAGCTGGCTGCAAGATGGTGTCATGGATGGGCAAGGCGGTATGGAAAGGCCCCAGAGGCTGGAAGTGGTCCTGGGAATCACGAACATCCTTCACTGTAAAATTAAATGCAGCAGCCATGCAGCGGCGCAAGCTCTGGTATTGGGTATGGTCGCTAGGCACCGAGAAGGTGGGTGGAATGTGGGCATCGTCCGGGGACGAAGAGGCGCCTGTGAGGACTGAAGGTGTCAATGGTGCGGCTGGTGCTGACGGAGCAGGAGCATCCAGAGGTTCCTCGTGGAAGATGGTGGTATGGGCGACAGATAAGCAGTGATACAGGCAGTACATCCCACGATCCTGGTAGGGGTCTCAAGCGGGCCAGTAGGGCCAGGCATAGGGATTGCCAGGCATCGGCGGTGCCCATGGGTAGCGGAACCATGGGTCAGCCGAGGGACCGCAAGTCTGTGGATATGACCGGGGCCGAGAGTCAAGGCTCTAGGACCGGGCAGAAGAGAAGGCTATGTCCAGGACAAAGGACCACTCTGATTCCGAAGAGGGGTCCAGTAGAGGAGGGGCCATCAGTGAAGGCAGAATTGGTGGCGCAAGACGAGGTCCGAGAGGATGGTCAACAACTAGAAGGAGCTCGTCCGTCACCAGAGCCGGCGGAGAAGGATGGAGCAGGAGGGGCTCGTCCACTGGAGAGGGGAGTCTCGGAACAGGCAAGGGTCCAGAGCGCAGGGGAGAGCCAACAAAAGGCAGCATGAGCTCATCTGATGGCATCAGGGGTGATAAGCATGCCAGAGTGCGCAGGACTGGGTGAGACAGGTCAGAAGGTCCTGGTGGTGTTAACGGCGCCGAGGGCGAAGGAGGAGGCCCAGGTGCCGGAGCAGAAGACAGGGTCAGTGGCATACAACAGCATTTGGAGCGGTGCTCCATATAAGCCTTCTTAGGAGCAGGAGCATCCACAACTGCACATGACTTCTCGCCCAACCTAACATGGCTCGGGGAGGTAACACTGCGTTTAAAAGCTGTCCCCGTCGGGGAGCCACTCTTATGCCCATGCTTCTTGTGCACCCAGTGGGGTTTCGGTGTGTGCCGCACGGGAGGGGCCCAGTGAAGCGCTCACCACCAATGTCGGGCACTGTTCCAGCAGATCTGGTGGAGCCGTGTCCAGTTATGCATGTGGGCGCATTGCCTCCTCCATCAGATATTTGCGGAGGTAAAGTTCACGAGCTGCTTGAGTCCGGGCAACAAGAAACAGTACAAGGCAGTAAAGGCAACCAATGTGCTCGTCTCTCACTGAAAAAGAAACAAGGGCGCAAGTCACAGTTCTTGAAGCCGGCTTGTTGGGGCATAGTCCCCAGGCCAGGGAGAAAGAAACCCCTGAAGGGAAGAAGTCCAAGGAAAAACTAGCTAACTACTAAAAACTCAGGGACGACAACTATATACAGCAGAAACGAAGAGCAGTTCTCTTAGCGAGAAAGAGGGGTTCCGACTCTGGCCATGTGGCGGTAAGAGGGAACTGGAGTGGCGTCGACCCGCACAGCCTCTTACAGCCTCAGACGTACCATGCAGTTGACGCACGATGCACATGTGGGTCAACAGACACTACTGCGAACAGTTCCAGCTCCAGCGCACGGCACCCATGCGCACCTGCGTTTGGAATCCAGATAGGGACCATCACTCAAAGAGCAACCTTGACTTAAGCGATAGTTCACATGAAATGGAGCTAATGGAGGACTAAGCCTCAAAGGTGGATGCACCATCCAGCACTTTTATGCTACTTAACAGCATCCTTTTTTTGGAAACTCAGCGTATTCAAAAGTACCATAAGTGTATGTGTTGTATTTGCCTTTTATTTTAAAGCTACAGAATCCAGGAGTGTGCTAGATGGTTTACAATTAAAATAAATAAATAAATACACACACAAAGCGGCAAGCAATGCCCCTTCATTAAAGTGCTTACAATCGAGATTCTGCCAAGACAGAGTAATACACAATAGAGAGAAGGGATGAGAAAAACAAAGGCTACAGTAACAAGATCACACATTTAGTCAGTTTTGCTAATAGGCACACCCAGTGTGTTACGTTAGATTTTTTTTTTTTAATTAGAAATATGTAGGTCAATCAAAAATTGCACAGCATTTTACAACCCACCACACAAGTTCTGCAGAGACAAAAAATTGATGTTATATCATCACTGCTGCAAAAAAGTTTCAATTCACCTGCTATTGCTGCTGAGAAGGCACAGCCAAGGTGTTTTAGACTGATGGAGTCCTTGCCAATACTCAGCCATAAAAAGGGCATTTTCCTAAGAACTGATGATTTTTTTTTAGTTTTTACCCAGAACGGAATAAATAATGTTAATTAAGTACTTTCTGACAAAGACTATTGTATAACAGTAACGTTGCAATGTCAATAGCCTGATTTGTCATGTTAAAAAACAAAACCAAAAATAGTTAGCAAAATGCTATTTGGTCATTGATATCTTAGAAACACTCATACGCTAAAAAATAAAAATATTTTTAAATTGACCATTACAAATGCATATCGTTCTTATTCTACTTGGTAGTTAATTTGAATAATTTCTTGTTATTAGGAAATCTGGCTATTGATTTTTGAGGTTTAGTTGTTCATTTATTCCTATGGAACAAAAGACAACCATAACAATTTATGGATTTTTTTATACACAAATAAATATTAATTGTCAGTCACTTAGAGTAGCATAGATAATTTTTAATAAACTAATGACTGTATATTTGGTTGCTGCATGTCAGAAGTTAATATATAGTAAAGCCAAGATTTTCACAGATGAGTGACTAAAGTTAGGCTCTGAAGTTCTATGTGAAAAGCAAAGTTTGCTAATCCACACTCTAGTAAACCGGCAGGTTCTCCATACTTCACAAAGATTTAATGGGCCACACTGTAATGATGTGTCTTAATACAAATATATATTTATTTTTATATAATTTAGCATTTATACTAATATACTACTAGCTGTGAAGTATCAAATGAAAACTAACTACAAGGCACAAACATCTTTTGTGCAATATTTTTAAAAAACACAATTGTGTTTAGCAAGTAAATGAACATTCAGTAATCCACAACGCGTTTCCACTGTACTCTATTTTCATCAAGTACCACACTATGGAAGTGTCTTGGCATGATGATTTATTGGACACCAAATAAAACTGACATTCCAGAGTTTGCTGCTAAATTCTTATTGGGAGGTGGGGGACGGGGTGCGGGGAAATGGGTTGTGTATATTATATATACAAAGAGAGACAGAGGCTGGCATCGTGGAAAAAAAATGACACAGGCACCCAACTTCCATTAGATCTCAATGTGATTGGGTGCCTAACTCCCTTTGGCAGATGTGACAATTCCATTCCCTAGGCTTTTATACCACACATCACTGAGGTATCTTCAGTGCCTACACCATGCAGCATGTTTGATTAAACAGCAATTTAAATCTAATTTATCACGACAGAGACACACTTACTTGAGAGTACCTTTTAAAAAACAGCTTGGTCTTTTCATCTTCATATGTGACCAGCTTATACCATTGCACAGAGGGCACGTAATCACTTTTCAACTTCATACAATTATCTTCATCATTCAGCATTGCTGTAAAGAAAAACACACACTTTAAATAAGAATCTTGTTGCTATGCATTCAAAAAGCTTCTGAAGGCATCCAATTACTATGAGCAATTAAAGTGGAAAGTTTCCTGGAATAGATCCGGGTTTTGTTTACCCTGTTGTCAATGGTGAATTGCAGTTTTAATTTCTCTATTGTTAAAAATTACTTCATCCCAATGGGTTGCAATGAATGAATGAATTCATCCCAATCAACTCTCAACTGTACTGCTAGGAAGCAATTCTAAAAATATACAAGTGTTACTATTTACAAAGCATAGATTTCATGCGAGTTTAAATCATAGGAGATACAACATTTTGAACTATATAAATTACATTATACAGAAGACATATAAAGCTATCACAAAACATAATAACTGACTATAGTCTACATGTACTATATACACATTATATATAAATAATCTACATACAAGCCCTATGTCATCTATTCCAGCATTACATCACGTCTCTGACTGCAAACTACCCAAGGCAATGATTGTATCTCTAAATTCTATTCAGCATCACATACATCTATGACAACATACAAGAAAGTAATAAATATTTCAAGCAGGGAGCCCCTGTAGAGAGAGGGCAGGTGTGATGTATTAAATGACCAAGTTCCAAAAAGAATGTCTAAACAGAGGGTAAACCGAAGAGTAGGTTTCAATGGATTTATAAGAAAGCAGGGTTATCTAAAATACAGATAAATATTTTAGTTTATCCAAGAGCAGGTTAACAGGTAACTTGATCACAGTCTATAGGTACCTATATGGGGAGAATATTTTTGATACGTAAGGGCTCCATAAATCTAGCAGAAAAGAGCATAATAAGATCCAAAAACTGGAGGCGGAGGCCAGACAAATTCAGACTAGAAACAAGGTGCAAATTTTTAACAATAAAGATAATAGACCATCGGAGCAACTCTGTCATTTGAAGTCTTTAAAATCAAGAATGGATGCCTTTCTAAAGGAACACTCTAGTTCAACCAGAAATTACAGGATTGATGCAGAAAGTCAGCCTAGATAGTCATAATGGTGCTTTCTGACCTCAAAAACTATTAATAAAAATTGACTTCATCCTCTGGAGTGGATTACGGTTTTCTGTTTCTTAAAGATAAATTGTGCCTCCTATACAAGTGTAATTTTCCCCATTCTACGTTATTTCTTAAAGATTCTGCTGCTATTTCGCTTGGATGTGAAAAACGCTATGCTGCTTAACTGCATTTACATACTGCAGGTATCATTTTGCAACACATCTGTATGCTGGTGAAGTGCTCAGTCTCCCTTGTTTAGCCAATTTGAGCATTAAGAGACTGAAAATATTTAAAAACTGTCTTCAAGATAATCTTTCTTAATTTGTGGGTTTTTACAAACTGATTTTCCATGGATGAATATTCTGTTACAGAATCCTGTGCAGTTTCTGATTCTGGCATTGATGTTTTAGATTAAGAAATGTATTTACTATCATCAGGCTCTTAAAAGGAAGAGAGAAGCCTCGGGCTGCCAGAACCCCAAGCCACCTACCTCTACCCCACCCCCGCCGCCACAAAAGCCCTGGGGCAGCCCAAGTTGGCGTCCAGCCCGAGCAGCCCCAGCGGGCCCGGGGCTGGGCCACCCCAGCCACGCCAGAGTTGCCCTAGTGGGTCCGGGGCCACCCCAGACGCCCCGGCCGGTCCCAGCCCGGCATCCCACAGCAGCGGCTGCAGCCAGGAAAGGCAGAGCCTTCCCTGGTCTATTATACTTGCCGCCTATGATAACAAATGATAATAATAATTATGCCCAGCTCTTATATATCATTTTTCAACAGATTTCAGAGCACTTCATATTATTTAATATATTAATCTTCACACTACCCCAGTGAGCTGGGGGGGGGTGCTATTATCCCCATTTTACAGATGGAGAACTGAGACACAGAGAAGGTAAATGACTTTCCCAAGATCACACAGAAAATCTGTGCCAGAGCAGAGAATTGAACCTAGGCCTCCCAGGTTATAGACTAGTGTCCTAACCACTGGACCATCCTTCCTAACAAAATACCTTCACACATGGCTCTTGGATCTCTTTCACATTTAAACAAAAAATATTCTCACATAACTCAGTGGGAACACAAGAGTACTCAGCAAATTGAAGTACCCTCAGCTAAAAACGTTTTTACTTTGCCTGACTATACTGACTGTACAACAGTGTTTTATTTGTGCAGTTTGAAATGGCTGTGAGAGGAGGTAAACAGATTCAGAGCTCTTTCCTCATGTGCTTTGTAAGAATACCTGCCATGTTGGGCACTCTTCGTTATGCCATTTGCTTTTCAGATGTATTTTCAATAAACCAAAGACCACAGAGTTAAATAATCTGTGATAGGAATAAATTAGCAGTAACTGTTGAGTGGGTAATGCCATCAGAAGCAAAGAAATTATTCCAACCTTTCTTTCAGTTATGTGACAATTTTCATAGAATCATAGAACTGGAAGGGACCTCAAGAGGTCATCTAGTCCAGTCCCCTGCACTCATGGCAGAACCAAGTATTATCTCTAGACCATCCCTGACAGGTGTTTGTCTAACCTGCTCTTAAAAATCTCCAATGATGGAGATTCCACAACCTCACTAGGCAATTTATTCCAGTGCTTAACCACCCTGACAGTTAGGAAATTTTTCCTAATGTCCAACCTAAACCTCCCTGGCTGCAATTTAAGCCCATTGCTTCTTGTCCTATCCTCAGAGGTTAAGAAGAATAATTTTTCTCCCTCCTCCTTTTAACAACCTTTTATGTACTTGAAAACTGTTATGTCCCCTCTCTGTCTTCTCTTTTCCAGACTAAACAAACCCAATTTTTTTCAAATCTTCCCTCACCAATCATGTTCTCTAGACCTTTTATAAGGTGTTCCTGTAAGCGGCCCTTAGACCATCACTGCAAAGTTTACAAACAATGACCCATATAGAAAAACTGTATCAGATTTCAAGACTATCTCAAAAAGACACTTCAGTGATTAAAACAAAATGTGTCAGTTTTTTTCTGATGGAAAGGTCAGTATTTGAATTTGGGATTTCTCCTCCTATTTAGCATCATATGATAAATTAGGATAGTACCAAATTTCACCATTCTAGTTGAGAACTGGCAAGTCAATTATATTAGTTAAGATCTAAATTGTATTAAATACAGTTCTCTTTCTCAGTAATGCATTTGTTTTGTTCCATAATGTTAGAGCCAGGCCTGAATTTCACAAGTTCCGTTTTTTTTCTCCCCAGCCAAGAAGTTTTCTACATTACACCTGAATTATGCAGCAGAATAGCACTGAACAACAGGCGAACTGATAATTATGGAACAATGTTAACCGTTCAGCAGCATTTTTACAACCATATCATCTAACCCTCCATGACATGGTGGAAAAAGTTACATTTAAGTTTAAACAACCAGTGGCTGCAATGCCAGAATTTTCTAGACCAAGCCGGGCCTAACAGAAATTTGTAATAGAGTGGAGGAAACAATTCTAGACTCAACTTCAGGAGTTATAACCTCTTTGAGATGGATGATGGGATTTAACCTCAAATTTGTGACAGACGTGGAAATGCCATGAAACAATCTAAGGACACCGAGGAGTAACAATTTTAACAACACTGTATGTGACCTTGTCAATGAGGGGAAGTTATTGTATACTGGGTTAAGACTTTCCTGTATGAATGCACTGATCTAGAGGCTGTGGGAAGAACCAACAGGGAAGGCAACACAATGGCTTCCCACATAAGACCATCCAGGCACAAACACAAAAGACAATTGGGAAAATTGTATCTCCAAAAAGTTACAAGCCTTGTATGTATGTCAGCCTGGGGATCAAGAGAACACTAAACAGTTAATAAAAGCTTCTCAGGAGAAGAGAGGCCAATTGTCAGAAGCTGTTAGGGAGACAGGCTAACACAGGGAAAGACTCTGCAGATGGAGTTTGAAGGAGGTGGGCCTTCCCAGAAGCTAGGAAATCATAGAAATGTAGGGCTGGAAGAGACCCTGAGAAATCATTAAGTCCAACTCGCTTTGCTGAGGGGCCAGACCAAGTATATCTAGACCATCCTTGACAACAAGTGTTTGTCCAACCTACTAAACCTCCAAAGATGAGGATTCCACAACTTCCCTTGGAAGCCTTTTCCAGAGCTTAATTAGCCTTGTAGTTTGGAAGTTTTTCCTAATATCTAACTTAAATTTCCCTTGCTGCAGTTTAAGTCCATTACTTCTTGTCCTACTTTCAATGGATATGGAGAAAAATTGATCACAGACTTCTTTATACTATCACTTGATGTATCTGAATAATGTTATCAGGTCCTCCCTTCAATCTTCTTTTCTCAAAACTGAATATAGCCAGTGTTTTTAACCTTTCCTCATAGGTCAGATTTTCTAAACTTTTTCTCATTTTTGTTATTCTCGTCTTGACTTCCTCCAATTTGTCCACATTTTTTCTAAAGTGTGGCACCTAGAACTGAACACAATACTCCAGCTGAAGCCTCACCAGTGCCAAGTAGAGCGGGACAATTATCTCCTGTGTCTCTCATATGACATTCCTGTTAATATATTCCAGGATATTAGCCTTTTTCACAAATGCACCACAGACTCATTCAATTTGTAATCCACTATAAACCACGGATCCTTTTCAGCAGTACTACCACCTAGCCAGTTATTCCACATTTTGTAGCTGTATATTTGATTTTTCCTTTCTAAAGTACTTTGCACTTATCTTTATTGAATTTCATCTTGATGATTTCAGGCTAATTCTCCAATTTGTCAAGGTTGTTTTGAATTCTAATCCTGGCCTCCAAAATGCTTGCAACCTCTCCCAGCTTGGTGTCATTTGCAAATTTTATAAGCATACTCTCCACTCCATTGTCCAAGTCATTAATGAAAATATTGACTAGTACCAGACCCAGGATCGACCCACGAGGAACCCCACTAGATAAGTATTCCCATATTGTGAACCACTGATAACTACTCTGAATACAGTCTTTCAAC